GGAGGTTATTGCTCTAGATGTGTTCACCAAGAATAGATGACAAACTAATAATAGACTTTGCTTATGATTTCCTCCTATTTAAGTATACTCTTTCTCTTTATCTTTGGCATCAAATAAGCTGACAACATTGTAAGACTTGTCTGTATACGGTCGCTAAGGTTGGAATTTTTCTTTTCTAAAAAACATAGCTCCCTAAACGATAATCTAGAGATTGAGTATCGAAAACGCTCTTGTACATGCTCTGTTATTTAAAAGAGCCAATTCCTTCAGTGCCACTGGAAATTTTGCCACTTCTGTGTGTGCCACTGAAATTGCTAAATTTCTTTACTAGCCATTGTAAAATAATTCTATCTCTTGTATGCCACTTTCGACGGATTGCTGTTAACCTGAAGTCAGGTTTCCCCAAAAAAGACAGATTTGCCACTCCAATGGAATGAAGTGAAATTTTGCTCTTCTCCTTAGTTGACATCGCTGGTTCATATTACATCAACATGACAACAACGTAAATCAAGCAAAATGAGAGCTGTAATGTCTTGTAATATATAAGCAAAATGACCTACAAAATAGGAGTTTACAAATTAATATGTCATCAACAAATAATATTTCATCAGACAAGCCACATAACATTATGAGTTCCAAGTTTCTCATCACACAGACCACATGAACATCAGTTTTTGATGACATTACATCAACCTAATATCACCACAGATACCTAGCAAAATATGAGCGGCCACATAGATGGCATGAGTACCAAGTTTCTCATGACAGGCCACATGAATGTCAGTTTTTTATGTCATACCAGGAACCTAATCTCATCACAGACATAGCAAAATAAGTGATCAGTATAGGTATTCATTCTAGGATTTTTCTTTTGCTCCTAGTAGACATTGCAGGGCTTTCAGGAGTCTTGCTTCTAGTGCACATTGCAGGACTATGTGCTGCCACCAAAGGTTTCTTCTTATTTGCTTGCATTCCCTTTGTCTTCTTTGTCTTTGCTTTCCCTTCTGCCTTGCCTTCTCTCTTTCTCTTGCCTTTAGGTTGGGAGGGGGCAGGTGGTGGTGTTTCACAAGAACTTGGCAAAGGATACTCAATGGATAATTGTTCTAGTTGATTTGACCCACATGCTGACCTATACATGCAAATTATTACTTTGAGCTGAGAAGAAAAGGTACTATACATTTGCAAATGGTACTTGATGCATTGAATTTCAACTTACTTATTACTTTTTCCAGAGCTCAAGGTAGTAGAGCAGCTTTGGCTGCATTAAAAACAGATTGATTTCAACTCAGGAACAGAAAAAAACTGAATCTAGGTTTTAGAAATAAAACATTTCAGAATTGATTTCAACTCACCTAGGTGGGAAATACATTTGTGTTGGTCCAGAGGAAGTAGATGCACCAGGAACAATGCTATTCTCAGTTGTTTCTTGTGCAAAATCATTTTTTTTCTTCTTCTTGCGAGGGCCCCTGCATAACATTACAAGTTATTAGTACAACAAAGTATTAGTATAAGTTATTAGTTTGCATTAGTGCAAGATAGGATACATTACCTCTCAGCTAATAGGGCTGCAATATCATCTGGGTTACCATTTTTGCATGCGCCAATGGTGTCCATATTGTTGGCACACTTCACACCTATGCTGCCCTCCTGTGTGTTGTGCTGCCATTGTTCTCTGTACACCCTTTGAACCTCTTGTTCTTCCTTCTACCAGCTATGGGCTTCAAAAGTGGAGGATACATGAAGAAGCCATGGGCTGATTGTGGCCATTGGGACTTGTCAGTAAGGGCAGGGATAAGGTTCTCATATGCACCTCTAAATTTTTGAACTGAATAGTATGGGTCAACATACATCTCCAAAGGATGTCCTAATGAAGTGATAAATGCAATAGCATGCATGCAAGGAATGCCAGAGACGTCAAATTTTCTACATGAATAAGTTTTTTGTTCAAGGTTCACCACACACTTGAAGCCATTGCTTCCCTTCACACACACTTCTGCAACTTTATTTGAGCATGAATCTACATCCATGTCCAAATTGAAGCTTTGTTCCTTCAACTTTTTAATTATATGTGGCAAAACAACTCCTCCAATTTTTGTTGACACTGTCCTCCTTGTGTGCCACTTTTTCATGAGAAGTTGTCTGATCTTGTCTAGGAAGTCATCCACATTCATGGCCTTGAAGGGCTTTACCCAGTTATTGAAACTCTCAACCAGATTATTTGTGACATAATCCACCTTGCAATGGGTTAAGAATTGACTTCTTGTCCAAATCTTTTTATGGTGCTCCCTTATGTAATTCATTGCCTCTGTATTAGCTTCATCCATTGCTTTCCAATGCATATCAAAAAAATATGAAGACCATGAATAAGCTGCTGCCCAAAGATGGTCATCAAACACTTTGCCTCGGTACCTTTTCTTGAAGTTGGACACCAAATGGAACATGCATTCACGATGCTCAGCTCTTGGGAACACTTGCTGCACTCCAGCCATCACAGCTTGTCCAGCATCAGTACAAATAGCCAGCCCACTAGGTACTCCTATGACATCTCTAAGTTTTTCCAGAAACCAGATCCAATTTTCATTTGTCTCAGAGTCAAATATTCCAATAGCAACTGGATACATCCAGTTGTGTCCATCCACAGCACATGCACATGCTAGCTGGCCCTTGTACTTTCCAGTAAAAAAAGTACTATCTATTGCTAGATATGGCCTGCAGCCCCTAAGAAAACCATCTATGCATGGTTTCAAGGCAAAAAAAGTCTATTGAACCTAATCTTGTCCTGGATTGTGTGATGATCAATTACTATAGCACTACCTAGGCATGACCTTTCAATCTCTGCCTTAAATTTAAATAAGTTATCAAAACTACTGTCCCAGTCACCAAAAAGTTGATCATGTGCTAGATCGTTACCATCATATACTCTCCTGTACGGTACCTCAACCTTGTACTTTGTCTTTATCTTAGCCCGTAATTCCTTTGCCCCCTGTGTTGGATCTTCAGTGAGCCAGTCCTTCACAACATCACACACCCAGAATTTGGTTGCATGTTTCACTACCTTACTTCTTCTTGCACTGGTACAGCTATGTCCATGAGGGTTTTTTTTACCTGACATGAAACCAAAATAAGTATGAGTTAATAGTATAAACAAAACAATGTGAAAACAAGCTTACAAAATCACAGAGCTACCTTTATTGAAACTTTGTCATCCATTGTAGAAGCATGCAACCTCCACCTACATCCATCTTGTACTTTCCTTGAACAATACACCCTATATCTTCCTGGATCACTTTTCTCAATGTTAAATTCAAACTCATGCTTAATTGCATAGTAAGACAATGCCAACTTAAATTCACTCATGTTCATATATGTGCTACCCACGTCCATTGGGGGGTCTTCTTTGTCATAAGCAACAATAGAAGGCGGTATAGGATCCTTTCCCACCAATCCATCCTCCTCCTCGTAGTCTTCATCAGAGTTAGATTCTGAATCAGACTTAGAGGTCATGCCCTCATGAGAAGCCCCAATTTTAGGTGCATTGGTTAAGTACAAGCCCTCCTCATCGACACCCACAAATTCATTCTCCGGTTCTGGATTTGTCAGGTAAGGGTCATCATCAGGAGTGGTGTCATCATCAGAAGAGGCATCAACATTAGTAGGCTGGCTTGTTTCATACATGCTGGACGAAGGTTCAGCATTAGGCCACTCAGGGATTTCAGAGGGTAGAGTGTATGCAATAGCCATGTGCACCACCTTGCTATCAACATGTTTGGCAAACATCGCAAGCAATTCTTGATGTGTTTTGACTTCTAAATGGTTTCTACTAGCAGCATCATAGTAGGCAACAGTCACAAGTTCTTCATAACCAGGAGGATACTTTTCCACAATTTCATCAACAAGATCCTTGAAATTGCAGGTGTCGGAGTCTACAACCATACTGATAATAAAGCAAGAGACTTCCTTCCTACATCTAGGGTTGCCAACGAGCTTTATCTCCAACAGATAGCTCGATTTAGGGTCCATCCTGTGAGTTCAGATGGCATCAAAAGTAGAGATCTACTGCATACTTGCCCCATCACCTAGATCAAGACAACATAGGAGAAGAACACGCATCACTTACCCTGCAAGAAGCCAGGAAGGACGTGGATCTGAGGTCCCCATTTCACCCTCCCGCTTTCGTGGCGCACCCGGGTCTGGCGGAGCTGCGGGGCTGCCTCTCGCCACGTACTCGCGCGCTCTCCGGCTGGTGGCGGCGGCCGCCAACCCGCTTCGACGGCGCTCGCCCTCTCCGGCTGGTGGCGTGGCCGCCTGACCCTGCCCTGACGGCCCCTTTCATCTGCTGCCTGCTCCGCTCTTCCCGGCTGGTGGCGCGGCGCGCTCGTCGCCCAGACGCAGCGATGTGCGGCGTCGTCGTCGCCCAGAACCGTGTAGCTATGTTCGTGAGAGGATAAGGAGCCTCCAGGATAAGGTTTCTGGTCTTGAGGGCAATAACGACATTTTGCCTTGCTACAGTGTTCGTGCAGGGACTGTTTCTGTCAACATTCTAACGGAAGCCGTCGACAGTGGCATAGAACGCATGAATTTTTTTTGCGGTGGCTGGTAACAAAATTTCGCGATTTCAATGGCACTAATGGAAGTCCTAAAATTTGTAATGGCACTGAGGGAATTCGCTCTATTTAAAACCTCGCTAACTACACATCCTGCGCAGTCAGGGAAGTCAACGGAGGAGGTGGAGGATTAGTCACGCCATAGTAGAGAGAAAAGGAACGCCGTACTCCACATCTTAAATTGCCCCCACTTCGTTGTTGACGATCGCGCGATGGATTCGAGTCCTCCAAAGTTCCATTAGGTGAGCTACTTGTTGCCTGTTCCCTTTTCCTTCGCATGAGGGGTAGTCTTTTCAGCTTATCGATCAGTTTTTTCTGATCCCCCATATGCTTCTTTCAAAATAGTTGGTTAATCATCCTGTTTGCTCCAATCCTTTCGCCTCAGGGGGACTGGAGATGGAGCCTCCGGTTAGTAGCTCCCGGGGCCCCATGGGCCCTCTTCTTTGGAAGCTCGATTGGCTTGAGTCCCAACACTTGCTGCGCAACCCAGTGAGAGAGAGTTTCGACCTTCTGAAAGAAGATCTGGAAGGCATAGACACCTTCCTCCTGGAGCTTTCAGATGAGGATGACCCTAACCTTATGAAGCAGTACTGGATGAAAGAAGTCCGTGAAATATGCTACGACACTGAGGACTACATTGACTGGCTGTTCCATTCTCAATTGAAGATTGGGTCTGTTGGCGTAGCTCCTCGTCTCAAGATCAGCCGGCTTCCCAGGACACTGAATCCGCGCCCAAATGTCGTCAGCCAAATCAAGGAACTAAGGGCTCGTCTGCAAGATGCTAGTGAACGGCACAAGCGGTATGTCCTTGATAACAGCACCTCCCCGAGTTCTAGTAACTTTATGCGTAGCCATTGGATTCCAGAGTGGTCAAGGGAGGCTGCTAGCCTTCTTGTGGGTATCGATGATTCTAAGGAAAAGCTTATCAAGCTGCTGAATAATGGAGAGAAGCAGATGAATGTCATATCTATTTCTGGGCTGGGAGGTATAGGGAAGACCACACTTGCGAAGCAAATTCTTCAAGAGCTTGGATGGCAGTTTGGATGCCATGCTTTTGTGAGAGCGTCAAGGAAGCCTGATACGAGGAGTCTACTCAGAAGCATCCTCTCACAAACTGGGTGGCGCCACCATTCTGAAGCTTGCAATTCACAGCAACTTACTGATCAACTCAGCGAACATCTGCGACATAGAAGGTATTTCTGATGTCTCCGGTCTCCATACTGCCTGTAGACTTGTCCAATTGATAATCTGTTTTTACAATAAAACTACACGTTCTGTATTTAAAGTTTGAACAACAATTTTGCTACAACCTAAAAATTTTATAAAGAGAGTGAGCATATGTGTTTGAGCCTGGGTTGGAGGATGGCTCAAAGGGCCCAAGTACCTAAGTTATCGCCCAATCCTCTAATTGGTACCTAATTACATACAGGGCAAAAGAATTTTATCAGATTCAGCAAAATGCATTCCCTAATTGTCAAATTTGCATAGCCTGCCCAATACTTCTGGAGCTCATCACTTTATAAGCAAATTAAATGATTGCTCTTGTGTATGCAAAAAAATTGTACCTCCGAAGATATAATCTAACCATACCTCCTGCTACTTGTACTTTGTAGTATGTAATTTTGGTTATTTTTTCTACCATTTATAAACTACTAGATATATAAATAATACATATAACATGTTGATATAGTGGTAGAAAACAACATCCAGAAAAAGAATCTAAGTCTAAGATTAAATAACAGGGATTTGCTCCTGTGGAACTTCCAAAATTGTTTGTGAATATCAAGGAAAAAGTGATTATCAATGACTGCATATAAATATATACTAGTTAGTGTAATTAGTTTGGTTTCCATGTGTAACTCTATTGGTATAATATCAGAACTAATTTGTGAGTTGTCAACTATCCATTGATGCCTTCTCCATATGGTCAAGGGCCAAAAAAACTAAATCTTTGATCAAGAATAATTAGTCCTTTCACAATTATGGATCAACAAACAGTGGCTCTTGTTCAATAGAACTTCACTACTAATACTATAGAAGTCCCTATTGCTGTTGGTAAAAAATGGTAGAAACCAACTGACATGGATACTTTGGTTGCTCAAAATTCATCTCCCGGTAAGGATAGGCACACAAGGACGATGTTTCTTTAGTAGTGGTCGAATGTTTGTTATTGTTGCTTCTAGCCTCCTTTCTTTCAGTTATTGAGGCTTTTCATCTTCATATGGATAATCATTTTCTATTCTAAGTCTAAAATGTGTTTGATTGGGATTAAACAGTATATGAGAGGAAAAGTGATAAAATTGTCAAATAAAACAATGGATGAAATTGACAAATTAACATCTCAAAGAACAAATCACCACGAAAAGAAGTAAACTATTTTGGGGTGCCATAGGATTATATAAAGGAGGATCCAGGTGACTTGATCAACTAGGAAATCATGACAGGTATTCGAGAAGTAGTGTAGTTCAAGACTACAATGGCATATGATATCATTATATTGTTAAATAGTGTTAGACTAGCGCCTATAGGGCTGGGCCATGGGCCTAGGCGCCCACGCCTGATAGCTGGGCTGCCTTTCGCATTATAGTAGTTGATCTCCCAGATTAGGCAAGGATCTCCGTTGATTGGGTGTGTTCTATAAACCCTACATCGATCCTTGCCAATATATGTTGCACCCCTTTGTACACATTGAATCAATCTACTATTCCTGTGCCATATTGACTCTCATGGTATCAGCCGCCTAGATCCTTTTCTTCCGCTGCCCTATTGCTCGCGCGCCGGCACTTAGCCGTGCAGCGCCCACCTGTGCGCTGGTCTCTTGCCGTGCAGCGCCGCCATGCCGGCGACTCCCCCTCTACCCCCAAGGCTGGGGATGACACTGTCGCCTCCTCTGCCGCAGTCCAGACCGACGAGGTTGCCCTGCTGCTCAGTGCCTCGAACGCGAACGCCAGGACGTGCACGATGCTGCCCTGGCGCGCGCCCTTCAGGCCGAGGAGGAGGCCGCGGCCGCCGTCAAAGAGTGCGACGCCGCTACCTAGCGCGCCAGCGACGCCCTGGTGCGCGCCGCCAAGGAGCGCGCGGCCGCTGCTGCCACTACCGCTCCGGAATCTTTCGGTGCCGCATCAGGTGCACCGGCGCCGACCACCGACCTCCATGCCGCCATGCTTCTTCACGAGGTTGTTGCCCTCCTACAGCTCCATGCCCAGGCGGTCGCCGTCAACAACATCCGGAATCACGTCACCATCATCCTTCACGTGGACTCCGGCAACTTCAGCCATTGGCGCGACCAGTTTATGCTCATCCTCGTCAAGTTCTCTCTTTAGGACCACGTCTGCCAGGCCCCTCCGGTCCCTGTCTCGCCTGACTGGGATTGGATGGACTGTGTTGTCAAGTCCTGGATCGTCGCCACACTCACCGACGATCTTGTCGAGATCATCTCCGCCCAGGGCTCCAATGCTCGGCATACTTGGTTCGCCGTCGAGTCTCAGTTCCTCGGCAACAGGGAGGCGCGCGCCATCCATCTTGAGACGCGGTTTTGCAACTTCGTCCAAGGCGAGCTCTCCATCATCGATTACTGCCGCCGGCTGAAGAAGATGGCCGACTATCTCACGGCCCTTGGTGAGGTCATCACTGATCGCACCCTCGTCCTCAACGTCATCTGCGGCCTCAACGAGTGCTTCAGCCACGTCGAGGCCCTCCTATGTCGCACCTGGCCCTTCCCTCCTTCTTGGATGCCCGTGACGATCTCATCCTTGAGGAGCTCACCTTGGAGAATCGGAAGGACGCCCTTGCCACTGTGCTCGCCGTCTCTAACACGTCTAGCTCTCCCAGGCCTGCCCCTACGTCATCCGACATGGGCTCTGGGGGCGCTGGTGGGGGTTCCAAGCCTTCCTACAATTGCCGCAGCTGGTGCGGCGGTGGCGGCAAGGGCGGTAGTGGTGGTGGCACCACTGGTGGACAGGAGCAGCGCCCCCCTTTTGGCACGCTGCAGCAGCAGGCTACCACATCGCAGCAGCAGGCCGGTACCAGGAGCTGGCCCACCCCCTACAATCCCTGGATGGGGTCGATCCAGATGTGGTCAGGTGGCCCTCGTCCCCCGTTGGCGCCCATCCCGCTGCATCCGCAGCAGCAGGCCCTCCTCGCCCAGCAGCACCAGGCCTTCGCTGCTCAGCAGCTGCAGGCTCTCATCGCCCAACAGCAGCCTGCTGCTGCACCTGCTGCCATCGATGGCATCGGTCAGTGGGTCGCGCTAGGCTACTACAACCCTGTAACCGGCCTCCCTTCATGGGATCCTTCGGCCCTCACCTCCGCCTTCAGCATGACATCATTGACTCCACCTTAGAACAACGAGTGATACTTCGACTCAGGTGCTACTTCACATATGACTTCTCAGTCCACCTCTCTTTCACATGTTCTTGTCCCGCGATATCCTACTCCTTCATTTATTGTTGTCGGTAATGGCTATTTTCTTCCTGACACTGCCACTGGATCCACAGAGTTGCCACATGCTTTACGTTTTAATAATGTCCTTGTGTCACCACACCTTATTAAGAATCTCATCTCTGTTCGCTAATTTACTACCGACTATAATTGCTCTGTTGAGTTTGACCCTGCTGGTTGTTCTGTGAAGGCTCTTCCGTCTCGGACCGAGATTGTCAGGTGCAATAGCTCCAGACCGCTGTACCCTCTGCGCCTTCCTCCAGCACACTCCCTTGTCGCTCGGGCTGCCTCTCCACTGTGGCATTGGCGTCTCGGCCACCCTGGTCATGAGGTGTTGTCCAATCTTGCGTCTAGCATTTCTTGTCAGATTGAGGATTGTTCAGATTTATGTCATGCTTGTCAGTTAGGGCGTCATGTTCGTCTGCCCTTTCATGCATCCACCTCTCGTGCGTCTAGCAAGTTTGATCTTATTCATTATGATTTGTGGACCTCCCCAGTTGTCAGCATTTCTGAATACAAATATTATTTGGTTATACTTGATGATTGCACTCACTATTTGTGGACTTTTCCTCTATGCCTTAAATCTGACACTTTCAGTACGCTTGCTCACTTCATCGCCTACGCCTCCACTCAATTTGGTGCCCAAGTCAAGGCTGTCCAGTGCGATAACGGGAAAGAGTTTGACAACTCTAGCACCCGTAACTTCTTTCTTACCCAAGGCATCCACCTTTGCATGTCTTGCCCCTACACTTCGCCTCATAACAGTAAAGCTGAACGTATTATTCGTTCTATAAATAATGTCGTTCGCTCCCTGCTCTTTCAGGCGTCCATGCCTTTCTCTTACTGGGTTGAGGCCCTCTCCACGACGCCCTTCTTGCTTAACATCTTGCCCACCAAGACTGTCCAACTTTCCACACCTCACCTTGCCCTCTTTGGCAAGCCTCCAGCCTATGATCACTTGCGAGTCTTCGGTTGCAAATGTTACCTAAACCTGTCCGCCATGGCTCCACATAAACTCGCTCCTAGGTCCGTCCTGTGCATTTTCCTTGGCTACTCCGCTCATCACAAAGGATACCGCTGCCTTGACCTCTCTTCCAATAGAGTCATCATCTCCAGGCATGTCATCTTTGATGAAAATGCCTTTCCTTTTGCCGAGCGCGATGGTCCTCGCATTCCAACGGACTTTGAGTTTCTTGAAGCTCTTACTGTGTGCCCGTTCCTATTGGACCGCCGCACAAGTTTCTGTCTATAGGTACCTCTCACGGAGCTACCACCAGCGCCCCTGCCGGCCCCTCAGCGGCTATGCCTGGGGCGCCCCCTACTGCTGCCACAAGCAGCGCCCCTGCCGATCGTTCAACGATTGTGCCTGGGGCGCCCTCGCCACCAGCAGTGCCTGCTGATCCCCGGTGCCCGCGCTCTACATCCCTCCTGCGCTGCGCTCATCGGGGATCCTGGCAGGCCCTCCGCTTGCTCCACGCGCGGCCACCGATGATTCTTCTGTGCCCAGCCCGCCTGCGCCCACCGCTCTGCTCGCCGAATGTACATCCCGCCAGCACTTCAAGCGACATCGATGTCTCCTATAGGTTTCCCGTCGCCGACGTCACCGCCCCGCGGGTCCCCACCAGGGTTCCCACCTCTCCGGCCAGAGCGTCTCTTCGCCCAGCACTACACGCGCCGGCCACAGCCTCCTGCACCGGCCCCCGCTCCTCCGCTTCCCAAGGGTGCTGTTGTGGTCCCTCCAGTGACCAATCAGCACACCATGGCCACGCGTTCGAAGAGTGGGTTTTAGATGCCTGCTGCGTACCACGCTGCACCTCTATCACCGGTGCCGAAGACCTTCTGTAGTGCTCTAGCCGACCCCAATTGGCGAGCAGCTATGGAAGAGGAACACGGTGCCCTTCTGCAGAATCACACTTGGGACCTTGTGCCTCGCCCTGTGGGCCAACATCGTCACTGGCAAGTGGATCTTCAAGCACAAGTTTAAGTCTGATGGCTCTCTGGAAAGGTACAAGACTCGCTGGGTTCTCCGCGGTTTCACCCAGCGGCCTGGTGTAGACTTTGATGAGACCTTCAGTCCCGTGGTGAAACCTACTACTGTTCACATGGTGCTCTCCCTCTCTCTCTCTCTAATGGCCTGTTCATCAACTTGATGTGAAGAACGCCTTTTGCATGGCAACCTATCAGAGACAGTGTATTGCTAGCAGCCGTCTGGGTTCGAGGATTTTGGTCATCCAGACTTTGTCTGTCGCCTGAACAAGTCCCTATATGGCCTCAAGCAGGCCTCTTGTGCCTGGTACAGTCGGATGGCCACGTACTTGCTGTCCCTTGGGTTTGTTGAAGCCAAGTCGGACACCTCGCTCTTCGTTATCAGCGCAGATCAGAACTGCCTACCTGTTGCTCTATGTTGATATCGTCCTCACAGCTTCCTCATCCGGTCTCCTTCGGCGGATCATCTCCGCTCTTTAGTAGGAGTTCGCCATGAAAGACCTTTGTGAATTGCATCACTTCCTTGGTATGCATGTTCAGCGATGATGTGATGGACTTCTACTTTCTCAGCCACAGTACATGCTTGATATTCTTGATCGCATCGGGATGGCAGAGTGCAAGCTGTGTTCCACTCCGGTCGACACCAACCCAAAGGTTGCTGCAACAGATGGCGCTCGTGTGTCTGACGCCCCAGATTTTCATAGTCTCGCTGGAGCCTTACAATACTTGACGTTCACCAGGCCAGATATTGCTTATGCTGTGCAGCAAGTTTGCCTCCATATGCACGACCCCTATGAGCCTCACCTTGCAGCTCTCAAGCCGATCCTTCACTTTGTTCGAGGCACTCTCCACCTTGGTCTCCTGCTGCGACCGTCTACTTCGACTGATCTTGTTGTCTACACTGACGCTGATTTGGCTGGTTGTCCGGACACTCGCAAGTCCACCTCGGGCTATGCTGTGTTTCTTGGCGACAACCTCATATCTTGGTCCTCCAAGCGCCAGAACACGGTGTCAAGATCCAGCGCTGAAGCTGAGTATCGCGCGGTGGCCAATGGGGTTGCTGAGGCCACCTGGCTACGCCAGCTTCTTCTGGAGCTCCATGCTCCTCTTAGGCGCACTACACTAGTGTATTGCGATAACATCAGTGCAGTTTACATGACCTCCAACTTGGTTCAGCATCAGCGAACTAAGCACATTGAGATCGATCTACACTTCATCCGGGAGGGCGTTGCCATTGGCGATATTCGTGTCCTGCATGTTCCCACCTCTTCACAGTATGCAGACATCTTCACCAAGAGGCTTCCCTCTTCAGTGTTCACGGAGTTCAGGTCCAGTCTGAACGCGCAGAGTGGCTGACGATCCAACTACGGGGGCGTGTTAGACTAGCGCCTATAGGGCTGGGCCATGGGCCTAGGCGCCCACGCCTGGTGGCTGGGCTGCCTTTGTTATTATAGTAGTTGATCTCCCAGATTAGGCAAGGATCTCCGTTGATTGGGTGTGTTCTATAAACCCTACACCGATCCTTGCCTATATATGTTATACCCCTTTGTACACATTGAATCAATCTACTATTCCTATGCCATATTGACTCTCAAATAGTGTTTAAGATGAAGATTTAGACTTCACTCCCATTTGGAGGCTATTTTGCGGCCTTCACCATGGCAAGACAGACACGGAGGGAGGGAGGGAGGGGGGGGGAGGGCAGAGATTGTGGTGGGGGTGTAGGATAGAAAGAGATAAGCATGTAGCGGAAAGAGAGGGAGAGGGTTAGGTTTAAGAAGGGCAAGCGATTAGGGTGGAATAACAGTTGTTTCCCAACCAATTCTTTTCTCTTTGCTATGGAAGAGATAGTCAGATTGCCTTTGTCTTTTTTGTTAATATAAGCACTGACATGACTAAGATTTTTTTCCCATGTCGGCGCTTGCTAACAATCAGTAGGGATAGGTACTATCTTTTGTTGGCTAAAGATGACCTCACCCATGTGAGGCCCACCTGTGATCTTTACTTAGTAATCGTACTCTATCCTTCTGGTTCTTTTTTGCTGATGGAACCCTCAGGTATAGGCCGCAGGGGTTTGTAGTTTTAGTAATGTTCGGACTATATATGCAAATCAGTATAATGTGAATAGAATGAACATGTGTACAAATTTAAATTACTTACTACTGCTAACATATCATAAAAGCTAATAGGTTAGTTTGGGGTCGAGGCTGTTTGGTGTTTGCAGTCTTTGGTGAGTTTTTTTCTTTTTCTTTTTGCGTGTGTGATCTGTCTTTGTGGTGGGGTTGTTTGTGTGATGTTGTTTGGGTGCTACTCCCTCCAGGTTGGTAAAAGAAGTCGTTTTGGATAGCGACACGGTCACCAAAGCATAACTTTGACTTCTTATTTTTATAAAACTATTTATTGAAAAGTGATATATGCATATTCTTATGAAAGTATTTTTCAAGACAAATCTATTCATATGGTTTTCATATTTCCAAACTCAACAACTTAAATGTTTTTCATGATTTATATTCCCAATGTTTGACCCAAGTCTTGTCTAAAACGACTTCTTTTAGCAACCTGGAGGGAGTATATCCTTTTCTTCTTCTTAATAAATATTGATATGCAGATCTGCTGCGTATTCGAGGGGAAAAACAAATAAATGGGGAAATCCTGGCATTCTTGCTTTTATGTCTCAAGTAACTCCTACTAATAGTCATGGGTATAATGAATCTACACTACTTGTATATCGTGAGTTCATGAATGATGATCCATGGGTGGAAGCAGAAAATCTCATGTTATTGGAGCCAGTTGGGTCAGTTGACCCCAATGATTCCATGTAGCAGAGCCCTTGCCATGGCAATATATATTTGTGACTCTCAATGAAGAGATCTTAAAATCATGGCTGCTCTTGATGAGGAGAAATGGCTAGAAGATATTCAGGGGGAAATATCAGTGCAAGCATTAATGGAATATCTTGAATTATGGGATATATTAGAAGGTATGGTACTACAGGAGGGGATCCCTGATAGGCATATCTGGAGGCTTTCAGCCTCAGGAGAATATACAGTTAAATCCGCCTATGATGCACTTTTGGAGGGAGCCCTCAGTTTTGCCCCATATGAGCGCATCTGGAAATCTTGGGCGCCCCCTAAGTGTCGCTTCTTCATGTGGCTGGTTGCTCACAATCGCTGTTGGACAGCAAACAGGTTGGCTCGGCGAGGTCTTCCTCACCCAGACCGGTGTCTGCTATGTGATCAAGAGGAAGAGAACATGTGTGTTTGCAAGACAATTCTGGTATGACATCCTACATAGCATCGGTCTTTCAGCACTTGCCCCGCAGCCAGTCGATTCCTCCTTTGATGCCTGGTGGGATAAGGCGGTCTTGACAGCAAGCGGAGATGCGCGAAAGGGATTGAATTCCCTCATCATCCTAGGCGCCTTGACCACCTGGAAGCATCGAAATGACTGTGTCTTCAATGGAGCTACCCCTAGACTGTCTAGGGCTTTGAACCTTGCTCGGGAGGAAGCCCTTTTATGGTCTATAGCTGGTGCTAAGGAACTGTCCCTGCACACAGCTCGGGATGATGGTTAGAGGGTCGTTGGTCAGGTCTTTCATCTCAGTCATGGGTGATTAGTTTCAGTCAGTAAGTGTGTGTGTGTGTGTTTAGGTCTCTGTATGACTCCTTTTTTTACTATTAATACAATGATACGCAGTTCTCCTTCGTATTCTAGAAAAAAAAATCATTTTTCACTGGGAGACCAATACATGCAGCAGACATTGAGACTTAATTTTATCCAGAAACCCATATTTTCTACTCACTGTAATTAATGGTTCTGCATTTTTGTATTCAAATTTTCTTTAATGTTGATAATGTGCAGGTACCTTATTGTAATTGATGATTTATGGGATACAGCAGTTTGGGATTTCCTTCTACGAGCTTTTCCAGATGGTACTCAGTCAAGTAGAATAATAACAACAACAACAAGTGAGAACGTAGCTATGACATGCTGTGGTAATCGTTCTGATTATATTCTAAAGATGGAACCTCTTAATGATGATGACTCAAGAAAAATATTTTTTGCGCGAGTTTTTGGCTCTGAAAACAAGTGCCCCAACAATTCAAAGATGCTTCATATGAAATCGTAAGAAAATGTGGTGGTGTTCCTCTAGCAGTAATTCATATAGCTGGACTTTTAACACGCCAACAAGAAAAATCAGAGGAATGGGATTATGTAGAAAGATCATTGGGTTCCAATTTAAACATAACTCCTACATATGAAGGGATGAGAAAGGTGATGAACCTTAGCTACAATGGTCTTCCCCAGTGTTTGAAGACATGCCTGCAATATGTTTGTATGTATCCTGAGAACTGCACAATTTGGAAGGACGATCTAGTGAGGAGATGGGTTGCTGAAGGTTTTATAGAGGGAGACAGGGAGAGAGACAATGAAGCAATTGCACAGAGCCACTTTGAAGAACTGGTCTACAGGGGAATGATCCAAGCTATAGACATAAACTACAATGATCAGGTTTTGTCCTGTATAGTGCACCCCATGGTACTTGATTTTGCAATAAGCATGTCTGCAGAAGACAATTTTATCACGACAGTAGACTACTCTAAGAATGCCAGAGAACTTGGTAGCATGGTTCGGCGGCTGTTGCTTTTCTACAGCAGTGCAAAGTATGCTGCAAAACTATCAGGTATGACACTGTCGCAAGTTCGATCCCTGGCCTTCTATCGGTTAGTCAAGTGTTTGCCTTCTATTCGGGAATTCAAATTTCTTCGAGTCCTAGTCCTTCATTTGTGGGGTGATCATGACGATTCGACAAGATTGAACCTCTCTGGAATTGACAGGTTATTTCAGTTGAAATACTTGAAGGTAACATGCAACTTTTGCGTACAACTACCAACCCAGATGTGGGGGCTAAACCTTTTGGAAACATTGGAAATAAACGCAAAAGAAACCTCTGTTCCTGAGGATATAGTTCACCTCAAGTACCTAGCACACCTCTGTCTACCTGCAGTGACAATGCTTCCATACGGGATGAGCCGCCTGAGATCTCTCCGTACCCTGAAACACTTTGATCTTTGTGGCAGCTCGGATGAGGAAGTAAAGAGCCTTAAGGAGCTATCGGTTTTGGAGGAACTTCAACTTGTCTTGACTACAGCATCAGCTGACAGTGTGGAAAGAAACCTGAATGTTTTGTTCTCTATCGTTTGGCTTCTTGATAACCTCAAATCTCTGGCTCTGGTTCGTGGTGCCTCAGTCACCAAAGATTCTGTTCCCATAATCATTGACTCGCGCTGCATGAGCTGTCCAACGGATGGTTTTGAGAGACTTGAATTGCATCGAGGTACTTGCATCTTACGCAGACTCCCTAGATGGATAGGACAACTGGGAAGAAGCCTCTGCATTCTCAAGCTCGGAGTCCTAGGGATCGTAAAGATAGATGTGGACAGTTTGGCAGGACTGCAAGTCCTCAAGTTTTTTTCTTTGTATGTACGGATACCCACCGTCCAACTCATCATCTTTACGAGTGATGCATTCCCAGCTCTTGAGTGTTTCAAGTTCAGAAGCGGTGTACTATGCATTGCCTTCCAGCCTCGCGCAATGCCAAAACTTCGCCGGCTAAAACTAAGTTTCAACGCCTACAGTGGAGTGGAGTATGGCCATAGTATGGTTGTTGGCATCGAGCACCTGCTAAACCTCCAGGAGGTTTCGGGACGAATTGGGGCAGCAGTTGGTGCTAAGGTATCTGATACGAGGAGCGCAGTTTCTACATTGAGGGGTGCCATTAGCAGGCACTCGATGATTCCTAGGTTAAACATGAAAACTGTTGATTGGATTGAGGATGACCGTGTGAGAGCAGGGGATATGCTTTCGAAGATGCAGATCAATACATTATCTGAAGATCACAGATTTCCAGGGGGCAAAATCGGAGGTCAATACAAATATAAAGGTTGATGAACGGTATGGATAATTCCTCTTTTACTACTAATACAGTTTCGGAAAGTATACATTTTATTTCGATATAAACCTCTTCACCACCATGTTCCCTCAATCGCTCCAGCTACACACACCGTTCCCTCCTGCTAAATGCTGATGCTGTGTTACATTTGTGTTCTTCTGCAGTTGTTTGCAATTCTTTACCAAGTATACATGCTTTGACACAACTTACTAGTGCGAGCTTTTTGATATACTTTCAATCTAATGTGTATCTATGCATCAAACATGTAGATGAATCTAATGCTGCAGTATTGTTCAATCCAAGCCAATACATGCAGCCAAATACTAAGTTGTTTTTCTGCTAAATTCTCCGTTTGATTTAGTTTTTTTTAGAAAGGGCGGCAAGAGCTTTGCCGGTAAATATATTAGACGAGGGAAAAACAAAAGGGGAACACCTAGGAAGTACTTATATGTGACCAATGTATGAAATACTTGTGGGACCTTAGGAGTACCCTAAACATGTTTAGAAGGTCATATGGAACAACTTTGGTACTCATGACTAAGGCTAGTTTGGTCTCTAAGTCATATCTATAGTGTAAATTATCATTTTTAATGATGTATGTTTGACCTAAGTTGAACTATAGCATAGAGTGTTTGTATGGCTGTGCACCCTTAAGCAAAGTTGTAGTACTTGAGTAGTGTAACAACTTTTATTTTTGGGTCATAGTCTAATTCAGCTCCTAACATGCTTGAATTTGGCCCACAAAAATTAATGCAATGTTGTTTGAAACTTGAATTTTTTTTCTAAGTCCTGCAATGCTTTTTAGTTTTCGTGTAGTGTACTTTGGTGCCTTATAGTTTGAAAACCGTGGAGATCTAGACTAAGTCGGTATTGACAAAGTTGGAGTTTACCTGTAGAGCTCCAACTTTTATTAATGGATCTCTTGCTAACTCGCCACGGTTATAGATTTAGAAGGGGGAGAAAACGAGCTGTCAGTCGAATGATGCTGGACCTGATGGCCATTTTGACCGGGCCGTCATGGCCGACCACCGTCAGGCCGCTCGCGCCAGGTGGAAGCCGTACGCCGGCATCGTCCCCACCAGTCAGGCCGTCGCGGACACCTCGTCACCCCGCGCCTGCTGATTCAATTGCTGGCCTCGCCTGCTTCCCCTCGCCTCGCTCAAGCCACGCAAAAGCGTAGCGCCGTGCTCGCCATCGCGTCCGAGTGCTGCCGCGCGTAGCTCCTCCGCCGTCCAGCCTTTTCTCAATTGCTCGCGCACGTAGACGCACCCTACGCTCGCTCTATGCCCTCGACCCGTTTACAGCCCCGTTCGAGCCTAGGTGAGGGCCTATTGGCCATTTCCGTCACCGCCGCCATGACTGGAACTTCGCCGGACTTCGAGCTCGTCGTGGCCCTAGCTAACCGACGTGCCTCCGTTCTTCCTTTCCTTCGCATCATCTTCCCCGCATCTCGTAGATGCTCTAACCCTAACTTGCTTGGACCTGCCGTGGCCGGAGACGGCCGGCGCACCTCCACGCAGCGCCGCCGTGCCGCCATGGCCGGCGATGAGCTCTCTCTAGTGCGTCCGCGCTCCAACCACCTACACCTATCGACGTGGGAGAGGGAGAGGATCACGATGGTGGGGTCGGTTTCGCCGTCGGTGAGCTAGCGCCGGTCAAATCCTTCCCCTGCCGTTGTGTGTCTATCGCGTGGGCCTGTTGACTGCTGGGTTCCGCGTGTCAGAGTCTGTAGTTCTAGGTTTTGTTTTATTCTTTTCTAGAATTTTGTGCTAACTTTGGAAAATTATATATAGAGCTAGGAGTGTCCAAATTGAGTGAACCCAATTTTGTTGGATTCCTCATGAAGTGTAGTATTTGATAAAAATATGAAATGCACTATTTCTGGTATTTTTCTAGGAGAATAAAATAGAGATAGATAAATGCTTTTTGAATGTTTTCAATCTTGTAAAATGTATAACTTGAGCTAGTAAAGTTCTAAAAATATGACTCCAATTTTGTTGGTCTTGTCTTGTCTTGTACTACCTGGAAAAATATTGGTTGCATAGTACTCTTGCTGGAAATAGTTGTTTGCTATTTATCTTAAATAAATGCTAGATTCTTGTGCTATTTCTCATGGTAAAAATATGTATCCAATGAACATGAAATTTATTGCAGAGTGTTCTTATGCTATGATGAAGCTAAGAAAAATATGAGTTCTGTTGTTTCACACTTTTCAATAGGATTTCCTATTTATGGTATTTTAAGCCCTGTTGGCTTGTCATTTTTGTGTAGGATGTCTTACTTGTTAAAATGCTATGAAATTTATATAGTAGCCTATTGGGGACATGTATAAGCTATTATATTTATTGTGGAATTTACTGTACAATTTTGCTATATGTTTATTATCTCACCTAATTATCTAAATAAATTAATAAATGCATGAAAAGAATTTATTTAGGAATGGCCACTATATTTTCTAGTACTCATTTGGTGTATGTTAACTGTTGGTAACATTGATAGTGCTCAAAGCACCATTCTTGTATGTAATGAAATATTATTTTCCTAAAATTCACTTATAGTGACTTTCTGGAAAGATTTTAGAGTTAAGCAAATTACATATTGAAGATGATGTTTTCTATGAATCTTGTCTATAACAAAGTTGTAGATAACTCACTTATCTAGTTTGTGTTAAATTTTCATGGCATTTAGCCAAATGGTTTGTGAGTTATGACTGTTCAAAGTTGGTCTTTAGAACTTGTGGTTCTCTAGAATTTCTGGACCAGGTTTGATAAATGTACCTGTTTTGCCTTCTTAACTTAGGAATCATGCTGAGATGATTAAATACGAATTATAGATAATTTCATAAGCTTTTCAGATTGTCTTGTTGCTTGTCTTTTGGATTAGTACAACTCCAGTTATGAGTTAAACTAGAAGCTGCTGTCTACAACACTGAATCTGTTGAATGCAGTGAATGACTTGACTGCTTTATATGAGTTGATGTGATGATTTAGATGCTTAGGCTGATTAAGATAAATTGTTAGTTGCAGGTGCTAGACCTCTTACTAAAGATAAACAACTTTATCTTAAGTTGCTAGAGCTTGATGAGTGTGTAGTTTTTGTTTTCATGAAGAGATATGCACCTACTCAGTAAAGTAAATATTAATCTTGTATAATCATGACATTCGTGTGTCCACCTATACATGGCTGTACATTTCATCATCATCTTCCATCTCTTTTGCATTCATGACTCTTATGCTGTGCATATGCATGCAATAGGTGTTCTGGAGGGAGTCACTCTTTTGGAATTCGAACAAGGACTTCCGGAGGAGCAGCAGCAAGTTCAGGAGCAGGAGGTGCAGGCCTCAGAAGGAGGAGTCAAGGAAGAAGAAGTTCTTGAGTGTCCCGATCACCAACCTTCCTTTTTTCTGAAAGGCAAGCCCTGGAGCATTCTAAGTCTCCTATGTTTTAAAAATGTTACTTTGAATATCTTTACATGTTTGATGCATTAAGTGATAGGAGATGGATGCAAACACTTGTTGCATATCTATCTCATGCTTGTCCAGTAAATGTACCATGAATCCTATTTAGGTCCAGGAGCGAATCAATGCTTAGCCATGCTTAGACCGATAAAGTCAGGTGATTTTCTGTCACCTGCAAGATAGGATGATATTTGGTCATGCTCGGCTGTATTTGCTATCGTGGAAATAACCATATGTTAATAATGAATAGAGATTGGGCGGGATGTCGATAGGGAAACAACAAGGCATGAAGGTCTTGGGTGTGGATCTATCCCCGTCTGTGTCGGTTAAGGACCATTCGCTGTATGTCCTCATGTCATGTTGAACGCATGCCTATCACTTAGTTGGCCGGATAACTCGTTTCGACCACGAAGCTGAGTAGCTCAACTCAGGCTGGAAGCCGAGAAGTGAAAGTGCGCACTCTGGTGGTAGTAAGGATGTGCAGGGAGCCATTGGCGTAAGTCCGAGGGCAGATTGACGTCCTGGCAGAGTGGATTCCCTAAGAGTGCGGCACTGCTTGGGCCCGTGAATTTGTTTCTGAGCTGTACCAAAGGTGATCCTTGGCGACCACTGATCAGGTTGCTTGGGTGTGTGTTAGGAATAATTCCCCAGCTGGGTAGGAATCGATTTGAGTCGCCGTCTCTCCCGGATAGTGAGAACTTGACTGAGCAGCGGCAACATAGGGACACTTAATGGAACTTGATGGTTATAATGATGATGATGATGTCACAACATTACACCGGATATGGTTACTAATGTTTGGATTCTAATTAAGTGCTTGCTCTAGTACAGATGCTAATCTAGATGATAGGTTAATATTGGTAACTTGCTGCTTTACTCAAAATCTAAATTATGCTCTTGTATCATTAAAGCTTTTATGCAAAATAGTTGTCAAGCGAGATCCACCGATAAAGCCTTGCATACTCCTTGGTGTCATTTATTTTTGGTTTACGACGGGTAAGTCTAGCTGAGTACATTCTCGCATACACAGGGTTTATTCTCTCTTGTTGTAGATGACGTGCTTTATAACGGTTACTGTAAGTATTGTCTCCACTCTGCTGGTGATGAAGACTAGATCATGGGCATGATCTTCTATGTTATCTTATCATGATGCTTTTGCTGGATATGTCTATGAAACTAGCTTGTATTTGAACTAAGTGTGTGTGAAGGTTTCGAACTACTTTGCTTTCGCTATTTGTGAACTCGTGTTGTAATAACTATGTGAACTCCGATGTATGTGAGATACTTGTGAACTACTTGTGAAATTGGTGTAACATGTGGCTTGTTATGTTGAATCATGTACGATCTTGGTTGTATGCAAGTTGGTTTGAAATTCTTCGTGGTTTCAACGGACTACCGAGTTTATATGAATTCAAGTATGGCGGTTTGATCACTCCGATGATTGCTTTTGTACTTGTGCTCTTATAAATTGGTTGGTTCTGTTACAGAGCTCGCCTCTGATGGGCGCACATCCCCCTCTAGGGTGGCGCGCCTGGGCT